TGTGTGTGTATATGTGTGTATATGTGTGTGTGTGTATATGTGTGTGTGTGTGTATATGTGTGTATGTGTGTGTGTGTATATGTGTGTGTGTGTGTGTGTATATGTGTGTGTGTGTGTGTGTATGTGTGTGTGTGTGTGTGTGTGTGTGTGTGTGTATATGTATGTGTGTGTGTGTGTGTGTATGTATGTGTGTGTGTGTGTATGTATGTGTGTGTATGTGTATGTGTGTGTGTGTGTATGTGTGTGTGTGTGTGTGTGTGTGTGTGTGTGTGTGTGTGTGTGTGTATATGTGTGTATGTGTGTGTGTGTGTGTGTGTGTGTGTGTGTGTGTGTGTGTGTGTATATGTGTATATGTGTGTGGTGTGTGTTGTGTATATGTGTGTGTGTGTGTGTGTATATGTGTGTGTGTGTGTGTGTGTGTGTGTGTGTGTGTGTGTATATGTGTGTGTGTGTGTGTGTGTGTAAATGGTCCTGGTCAAGCAGAAGTAAACAACAAGGCCAAATATTCAAGTGAATTCATCTGAAATAAAAGTGTATTGAACAGATACATATTTACTCTAGTTTGTCAAACTGTTTTTTCTGTTTCATTTTTGGTTCTAAAGTTCCATTCGTTTTAAACAAACCATGTCACAGGTAAAATTTTTAGGCCATGAACAAAAATTACTTCCCAAATTTCAAAGAGCTGCAGATCGTCTTCAGGTGAACTTTCAAGCTTCATCTTTGACTCATCTACATCTGTAGGTCGATACTTATGAAAATTAAAACTATTAGGTGTTAGTATCTGGTAAAACCTGTGTTTTACAAATCTAAAAAAATGATCATTTTCCCTCCGTTACCGAAAAATGATGTTTTTTAAAGTTTTACATGTGTTCAACTTTATATTTCATCATGAAACTTTCTAAAAGCAGGATATTGATACTACGAAGCATTTCCTGCTGCAATCGAATGAATTCTGTTTCTACATATTTTTTTTTTATTAATTATCTTATTTTTTCCCTCCGTTAACGGCAAAGGTAACGAAGGGAAAACAGTTCATGTAGTAAACACTTTGTACTGCGTTCTCCCTGAGTGATTCCAGACACAGTGTGTTGTTTTCATCATTATGGTTTTGTATTCGGTTAAGCTGGTCTCTTTTTTAACATTATCTGTAAAAATGTACAATATTTTGAGAATAAACTCAGATAATAAAAAACACATGAGTGAAATCTTTGAAATGAATGGTGAGTTTAGTTTAATATTATGAATTAATTTATGTTTCAAGTTTGCAGTTTGTTGTTTTGATTCAGTTTGTTTGTGGTGGCTGAGTGGTTAGCACTCATGCCTCACAGCAAGAAGGTTCTGGGTTGGATCCCCGGGTCGCCCGGACCTTTCTGCTCCAGGTCTCCAGAACAGTTGAGAGTCAATCAAATATATAAATAAATATATAAATAAATATAAATAGAATCAATCAGTGAACCTGACAGGTGGAGCTTAGCACTGGTGCAGTTGTAGTGTGTGGAGAGAATGAAAAATAAAACAAAAACTGTAAATCACTTTGGGATGTTGAAATGTATAATGTATAAAATGGAATGATTGATCAATTAATAAATTAAATCATGATAAAACTTTGTTAATTCAAATCGTCTGAACTTAGATTTTAGTTTTCGCTGTGCGGTAGAATTTTTGTTCTTAAAATATGAAAATCTAATGTAAAATGTTTTTAATTTAAGTCATTTAAATTTACATATGTTTTTTTTTTATTGGAGCAGCTTCAGTTTGAGAGAAAAACTTGTGTTTTGTTTTTTTCTTTCACAAGTTTAACTCACAAACCTGCAGATTTAACACGACTGCAGGTCTGTGTGACCAGGACACAACAGAACAGAGACCAGTGTGACAGGGGCCTGGTTATGGGCTACACACACACACACACACACACACACACACACACACACACACACACACACACACACACACACACACACACACACACACACACACACACACACACACACACACACACACACACACACACACACACACACACACACACACACGTCTGGTCAAGTGTTAAAGGAGGAAACAGGGTCAGATTTTTGACATTCAAATGTCTCTTATTCAGAAACTAGAGGAACTATTGAAATAAGTAAAGTATCAGAATGTAGGAAAGAGTTACACTCCAACAGGGTCAAGTTAAACCTGTGAGATTCTTTCAAGTTCAAGACAAAAAAAAAAAAAACTCATGTTGGTAACGGAGGGAATGAAATATGCAGCACTTTTTGGACAATAAATCCAAACAGTGATAACTCTTGGTTCTCACTTCCATATCCTTAACAAACTGGTTTGAATATTTGCTTCATATAGTTTTCTACCATATGGTACAAGATTACAAGACCAGGACCAGACCAGGACCAGACCAGGACCAGACCAGGACCAGACCAGGACCAGACCAGGACCAGACCAGGACCAGACCCAGACTCTGAGCTTCTGATGTGACAGGATCAGACTTTGACAAACCGGTCTGGTCACTTTGAGTCTAGTCGAGTGCTGTGCTAAACATGTCACCAGAACTAAACCAGGACTAAACCAGGACTAAACCAGGACTAAACCAGAACTAAACCAGAGGACTAAACCAGGACTAAACCAGGACTAAACCAGGACTAAACCAGACCTAAACCAGGACTAAACCAGAACTAAACCAGAACTAAACCAGGACTAAACCAGGACTAAACCAGGACTAAACCAGAACTAAACCAGGACTAAACCAGAACTAAACCAGGACTAAACCAGGACTAAACCAGAACTAAACCAGGACTAAACCAGAACTAAACCAGGACTAAAACCAGGACTAAACCAGAACTAAACCAGGACTAAACCAGGACTAAACCAGAACTAAACCAGGACTAAACCAGGACTAAACCAGGACTAAACCAGAACTAAACCAGGACTAAAACCAGACTAAACCAGGACTAAACCAGAACTAAACTAAACCAGACTAAACCAGGACTAAACCAGGACTAAACCAGGACTAAACCAGAACTAAACCAGAACTAAACCAGAACTAAACCAGGTCTAAACCAGGACTAAACCAGGTCTAAACCAGGACTAAAACAGGACTAAAGCAGACTAAACCAGGACTAAACCAGGACTAAACCAGGACTAAACCAGACCAACTAAACCAGACTAAACCAGACTAAACCAGGACTAAACCAGAACTAAACCAGGACTAAACCAGGACTAAACCAGAACTAAACCAGGACTAAACAGGACTAAAACCTGAACTAAACCAGGACTAAACCAGACTAAACCAGGACTAAAACCTGAACTAAACCAGGACTAAACCAGACTAAACCAGAACTAAACCAGGACTAAACCTGAACTAAACCAGGACTAAACCAGAACTAAACCAGGACTAAACCAGGACTAAACCAGGACTAAACCAGAACTAAACCAGGACTAAAGCAGGAATAAAATGCCAATTTAATATAAACTTTAAGATGATAAATCAAAACAAAACAAATGTTAAAGTTAAAAAAAAAAAAAGGTCAAATGTCACAGATAAAGTATAAATACAGAATTAAAACTGCAAGCAGTGATAAAGGGCCCTCAAACCGTAGAATATGTTTATTGTTCACAGAGGAACAAAATCATCTTTGGCTCAAAACATAAAAACAGGACGAGGACACAGAGGAAAGCAGCAGCTCTGGAAAAATACATGAAAATACATCAACACATGTAGCAGAGAGGGGGCTTCAACGGGTTCAACACTTTTATTTATGCAATTATTTACAACACAGGTAAATCTGGCTGAAACACAGGACAAAGGCATTAACCTGTTACCATCCACCTCATTTTGGTGTGTGCACAGTAGCACTACATACCCAAATGCCAGAGCTTATTAAAAGAAAACCTTAGAACCCACATGCTTGTGTGAGGCACCATTTTAAAGCTTAGGCCTTCTAGTTTCTGTAGATATGTACATGAAGACTGTGAGTGCTGCCTAACCTACAGTACAGTCAATTAAAATTGAAAAAAAAATAAATAAATTTTTGCTTCGAAAAAAAAAAAAAGAAAAAAATAAAGGCCTTAGCTTGGTCATACTTCATGCTAGACATTTGTGACTCACTACACTCATTGTTCAAGTTGTTGGCAACAACTGTGTAGAATTTCAGATCTCTAGGACAAAGGGTTTTGGTTTTTATAATAATAATAATAATTGTTATTATTATAATACTAATTCTTCTGAGCTTTAGGCATGTTTTCTCAAGAAAAAAAAACTAAAAGTAGCAAAATTGTCTTCCAAGTGTCAGATCTGCCCAATATGGCCCCTCCCACACTGCTCCCTGTCTCCCTCTCTGTAACGCCTGTAAACACCGCGTCCATCTGCATGTCCCACCCACCGTTTGAAAGCTCTGGTGATTGGCTAAAACAATATGTCAATCACTTTCTGGAAGATCCAATGACTGAAGAGATTTCCCGTAAACAAACTGATGACGCGTGCGTAAAGCCAGGAAGTACGTGAGTGCGTTAGCTTCTTCAGCGGCTTGTCCCACCTAAACCCCGCCACCGACAACAGCGGGGAGGGTCTCATTTTGAAGCTAAGAGTGTGAGGAAAACAAGCGCACCCAAGAGCGGGAGAGAAAGGGAAGTGAGAGCGGGAGAAGAGGCGGAGGAGAGACATAATATTTTCATTCACGGATTCATCCACTCATATGGACGACGATTTTCTGGATTATTTCCCCACATGGAATTATTTTTTGGAAAAACAACTTGATATTCTTTTTCTGTGGATTATTACGGATTTATTGAGTACAACTTTTCATGGATTGAACGCGTTTTGGACCGACAGAACCGCTCATAGTTAAGAAACGCGTATCTTATTCTTTGATTATGATGTGAATTTTTAAGTTATAGCGTTTTGGGCTCGTTGTACGGCATAAAATAAATGATATGGTTGTTTTATTGATAAATTAAGCTTTCAAACGATGTATGGCCAGTAGTGAAAACAATAATGAAGGTGAATATACAGAGTGAACATTTTTTATTGGAAAATCACCCGCCGGCGGGCGGGTGGTAAGTGGAAAAATATACAGTTCTTTATTTTAGTTAGTATTAAAAGAGCTCATTTGACACATTTTTTTTTAAAAAGATACACAATCAACAACAATTTGGGAACTAAAACCTGGGACACAACTAAAAACAAATCACACAAAAACTAATAATAGTGAAAAATAGTTGCATCCCAGGTTTCAGGAACCAAACTGCTAGTGCAAATATCTGTTTATACATAAAAAGGTGCTGTAGTATTTTTAGATGCAAAGTTCTAGGTGCGTGGCTCCACTGTTAGGACGTCCTCATCTCCCTGGAACAAGAATCACTCTACAGCCTCGTCCTGCTCTTCACAGAGATGATGATGACTTCTGGGATCTACAGAACTTCTCCTGCTCCCTGTGGAGACATTTAAAGAGCTCAGTTATGGAGTCAAAACCTGCAGAAATCTGCATTGGTGGTGCAGTGTAGTTCCACCTCTGCTCCAGCAAGTGGCGCTAACACACTCTGTGTTTTGTATCATGTGTGGAGGGAAAATCCTCTGTTCTACAGACGTGCTGCAAATGAAATAAACTGTTCCACAAATGTTCAGCTGCAGGATCTGTGGTTCTGACTGTGACAGGAAGTGCACGAGGAGCTGACACTATTATTACATCATTACTACATCTACATCACATTTTTGAAAAAGAGACTCAGACCTGCGTCTCTCAAACTTCTGTACATGAAGATCAGACTTGGTGGTTTGGCCCGAGCAGAGCTCCAAGATCTAAAGTGAGACTGAACCGTGGTGAAGGTTTGTCCTAAATCATGATTAAGTCAAAGGAGGAACTCACGCTGCAGGTGGAGCGTTTCCTCTGGACGGGACCTTCTTGGATCTGAGGCCACGTTTTCTGATGGAACAAAAATGAAATATTTCAATCACCAACACCAAACCAAAAGTATAAAAACCAAAAACACGTCTGAGCAGAGGCTCACACACTGACACCTGCAATTAAAATGATTCATTTAACTCACACCTGCCTCCATATTGGATTTATGAACATTAGGGGGCGCTGTTGACATTCAGAATAAACCAAACACCAGCAGCACCAAACCAACGGACCTGGACCACAGCTTGAGAACCACTGCTGCACATTTAAACTTTTTTATTCACTTACGGTGAACGTGACTTTTTGAAGTTTATTAAAGGCTTTTTGATCGATCTCTGACGTCACTGCCCCCTTCAGGTCTGAAAGAGAAAGAACAGAACACAAACTGTTCACCACAGAGTCACAAAATACAAGAAAACCAAGTCACAGCCACATCACAAGTGAAGACTTCAGTCTGATCCCAACAAGACGGAGTGTGAAGAGTTTGTTGTGTCAAACATTGAGAGTTGGTGTTGTGAGTGAAGCTGAGAGTGTCCGGTGTTTGTGCACATCTCAGAGGCCGAGCTTCAGTCTGGACTCCACACAAACTCTGGAAACACACAAATGTGAACTGTGCACTTTGACCTGTGCAACGTCACACTGTCTGTTGGATTTTCACATGTGGATTCACTCTGTTCAAGTGTGAACATTTTCACACTGGATTCTTTTGTTCTGACACTTTGAAACATTTGTAAAGTCACATTTGACGTCTCCAAGAGTCGAGGCTCGTCTTCCTCCTGACTCTGTCACTTTTTTCTCTCCTTTTATATTTTCTGTTTATTTGGAGACTTTTTGTTGTGGACAAAATAGAATGATGTCATAATTATGGAGCCGCATCAAGTCATGAATGTGACGCCACAAAGTTACACAAAGTACACACAAAGTACACACAAAGTACACACAAAGTACACACAAAGTACACACAAAGTACACACAAAGTACACACAAAGTACACACAAAATACACACAAAAGTACACACTGTAAATGTGTGTGTATGTGTGTGTGTGTATGTGTGTGTGTGTGTGTGTGTGTGTGTGTGTGTGTGTGTGTGTGTGTGTGTGTGTGTGTGTGTGTGTGTGTGTGTGTGTGTGTGTGTGTGTGTGTGTGTATGTGTGTGTGTGTGTGTGTGTGTGTGTGTGTTGTTCTCACGTGGTCAGGTTGTTCTTGTCTCGTTTTCTTCCTCTCGTTGTCGGTGAGTTTGTTTCAGAGTTTTTGTTTCTGTCAGAAAAACAAACAAAAAGTTCAACCTCTGAATATTCAGCACCAAAGAAACAACAAACTCACACCAGATTTAAACCAGATTTAATCCAGATTTAATCCAGATTTAAACCAGATTTAAACCAGATTTAATCCAGATTTAAATCCAGATTTAATCCAATCCAGATTTAAACCAGATTTAAACCAGATTTAAACCAGATTTTAATCCAGATTTAATCCAGATTTTATCCAGATTTAATCCAGATTTAAACCAGATTTTATCCAGATTTAATCCAGATTTAAATCCAGATTTAAATCCAGATTTAATCCAGATTTAAACCAGATTTAAACCAGATTGAATCCAGATTGAATCCAGATGTAAACGGGTCTTGGACTGACCTTGGAGCAGAGGGATTTGTGTTTGCAGGATTCTCACTCGACTCCATTTTGTCCAAACACCTGAAAAACAAACACAGATTTAAAATGACACGTTTACTAAAGATCAGGTCCATTTTATTGTCCCCACAGAGACGTCTGCGTTTGACCCGTCCTCATGTCTCTGCTTAAACCTGCGTTTGACCCGTCCTCAAGGAAGTGTATAAAGACACAGTGGAAGTACTCAGTACTTCAGTAAAAGTACAAATACAGGAGCAAAAATACTCCAGGAAAGACAAGAAATTACAACACAACACAAACACAACACAAACACAAACAAAACACAAACACAAAGATCCCTTCCTCCTCCTTTTCCTCTCTCTATGTGACGTACTTCAGCTTTTTTTTTTTATCGAAGCATTTCAAGTAATTTAAAACTTTATGTCATCGACAAATCATCAAGAGTCCATGCATCCATTTTCTTCCGTTTATCCGGGGTCGGGTCGTGGGGGCTTCAGTCTAAGCAGGGACTCCCAGACTTCCTTCACCCCAGACACTTCCTCCAGCTCCTCCAGTGGGACCCCGAGGTGTTTCCAGTCCAGTCCAGAGACATAGTCCCTCCAGTGTGTCCTGGGTCTTCCCCGGGGCCTCCTCCCGGTGGAACATGAACACCTCCTGAGGGAGACGCCCAGGAGACATCAGAACAGATGCCCAAGCCTCAACTGGCTCCTCTCCACGTGGAGGAGCAGCGGCTCTACTCCGAGCTCCTCCCGTGTGACTGAGCTCCTCACTCTGTCTCTAAGGGAGACGCCCAGACACCCTGCAGAGGAAACTCATTTCGAGCACTTGTATCCACGATCTCGTCCTTTCGGTCACTACCCAGAGCTCATGACCAGAGGTGAGAGTAGGAACGAAGACTGACCGGTAAATCGAGAGCTTCACCTTTCGACTCAGGTCCTCTTCACCACAACGATACAGCGACCGCATCACTGATCCACCTGTCAATCTCACGCTCCATCCTCCCCTCACTCATGAACAAGACCCCGAGATACTTGAACTCCTCCACTTGAGGCAGAGACTCTCCACCTGGAGACGACAAGACGCCTTTTTCCGGGTCGAGAACCACAACCTCAGACTTAGAAGAGTTGATCTTCATCCCAGACGCTTCACACTCGGGTCAAACCGCCCCAGTGCTGCAGGTCCTGGCTCGATGAAGCCAACAGAACAACATCATCTGCAAACAGCAGAGATGAAATCCTGTGGTCCCCAAACCGGACCCTCCAGCCCCTGACTGCACCTAGAAACTCTGTCCATAAACACAATGAACAGAACCGGTGACAGGTGCAGCCCTGGCGGAGTCCAACATGCACCGGGAACAGGTCTGACTTACTGCCGCCAACGAACACAGCTCCTGCTCCGGTCATACAGGGACTGGACCCCAGACTCCCAGAGCGCCCCCCACAGGACACCACGAGGGACACGGTCCAATGCCACAAGTCCACAAAACACATCAAGAGTCAAAACTTTCAAATAAAGAGTAAAGTGTGAAGATATAATTATGCAGCACATCTGATATTTCCATGATATTTTCCTGCATAAACTACAAAAGTGTTTAAAAAGACTAAAATGAAGCAGAAAATATGTGAGAATTGTTTGTACAATGTACTTGTATTTAAGTCAAGTCCCTCCAGTCTGTGTGAGTGTTTTGAGACTCACCGTGTCTGAAAAGCAAAAACAAGATGGAGAAAAATGTTGTTTTAAAACCTGATGAAGGTTCAGTTGTAGATCTGACAGCAGGAGACAGACGCTCTGAGCACAAAGACGAAGGAGATGAGATTATAAAGGCAAAAGAAAATGTGAGTGGGAAGAAGGAAGGAAGGGAGTTTCAGATGGAGACTATTGCAGAATCCTTCCACAAAGCATCAGTCAAAGCATTAGTCAAAGCATCAGTCAAAGCATCAGTCAAAGCATCAGTCAAAGCATCAGTCAAAGCATCCGTCAAAGCATCCGTCAACCGTGGTGGTTTAGGCACTGAGCCACTGTTCAGTCATAGTAAAAATGTTTCCACCACCAGTGAAAACACAGGAAACGGAAGAAGTGGTCAGATGGTTTAAAAGGTCAGTAATGAAACAGGTCTAAACAAGAACTAAACCAGGACTAAAACAGGACTAAACCAGGACTAAACCAAAACTAAACCAGGACTAAACCAGGACTAAACCTAAACCAAACTAAACAGGACTAAACCAGAACTAAACCAGGACTAAACCAGGACTAAACCAGGACTAAACCAGAACTAAACCAGGACTAAACCAGACTAAACCAGGACTAAACCAGGACTAAACCAGGACTAAACCAGAACTAAACAGAACTAAACCAGGACTAAACCAGGACTAAACCAGGACTAAACCAGAACTAAACCAGAACTAAACCAGGACTAAACCAGGACTAAACCAGGAACTAAACCAGAACTAAACCAGGACTAAACCAGGACTAAACCAGGACTAAACCAGGACTAAACCAGGACTAAACAGGACTAAACCAGAACTAAACCAGAACTAAACCAGGAGTAAACCAGGACTAAACCAGGACTAAACCAGAACTAAACCAGGACTAGTGCTCTCTGTGTCTCTCTCTGTGTCTGTGTGTGCGGGACCAGAGCAGGACTGGGGTGGACTCCAAGCTTTGACTCCGAGCCTCCGCGGGGTCCAAGCCTCAGCTTCGAGCTCCGGTCCTGCCGTGGGCTCTGAGCCTCCGCTCTGGTCCCGCTCTGGTCCCGCTCTGGTCCCGCTCTGGTCCCGCTCTGGTCCCGCTCTGGTCCCGCTCTGGTCCCGGACCTGGATCAGTCCTGGTTCAGTCTGTACCCGGTACAAAAGTTCGGCATCACAGTCCTGAAGTCACGTAAACGGGAAACGGTCGTTATCTGTTTTTTCCATTTTTCATTTAAACACAAAATCGAAAACTGAAAAAACTAATCTTTATCTGCTTTTTCATTTTGGTTTTGGAGACAAATAACGAAGAAAACTGTTGTTTTTTCGTTTTCTTATTTTTGGTTTTATATTGAAAAACGAATGAACGAACAATACACAGATTTGATCATTTTCAGTCTTCAGTCTTAATTTACCACTGGACCAAATCTGCAAATCTAAAACATCCCAGACTCACTGATGTGAAAGTCTCTCCAACAAAAGTCTGGATTGTTTATTACTACACATATGATCATTTTCCCCAAATATCAGATTTTTTCCTGTTACTAAAATTTGATTTGAGCCTGAGAGTTTTAATCTTGACTTGATGTTTTGAACTGAAACTTGACAAAAAGACAAGTCCTGCAGCATTGCTGGAATCAACTCCTCCCAAGTCTGGACTGTGAAGACCTCAGACTTGTGTGACTCTGACTCCGCCCGGCAACAGA